TCTGGGTTGATTCCGAAAATGTCAGTGTGCTTCAGTGTGTGTCATACTTACAGTTGGCAAAGATGTGTATGATTTCTGGTGGTTAAGGTGGATAAAAATGTTATCTGTTTTTATCATTGGGAAGGCCCTTTCTAAAGCTGCATGATGATATGCATGTTATTAAGCTTTTCTTTTGCATTTATGTCATGCTTTTCATCCTCAATTATCCCAAAGTAATTTACACATAGTGGGGAATGTACTTCATCTCCCTCTGAAGTACCTGGATGACACAAAGTCGCCCCACTACACAGCAGACCAAGAGATAAGAGAGAAGAGAGAAATTAATTTAATGTTTGACTCGGGAACTTTACATAGGCCTGAGTGGAATTTAGGCAGGACACCGGAATTAACTAATTTACTCTTACAAGCAGTGCCATGGGATTTAAAATAATCAAGTAGTCAGGACCTGGTTTGGAAATTCTTGTACAGAGGGAAGAGCTCCACCTACTGATCCACAATCACCTGTCGTCTAGAAGTAATCACAGAGGTATACTGTATATCATGTTACCCATCGTATTGTTATTCCAGAATCTAAGTTCAAAGGACAATGTAAATAGGATTTTTTTGTCTGTTCTCCAGATGTTGTTACTCCCAATGGCCTGAATGTCAAAAAATTCTCTGCTGTGCATGAATTCCAGAACCTACATTCCATGAATAAGGCACGGATTCAGGAGTTTGTTCGTGGACATTTCTATGGGTAAGCTATCCTCAGCCTTTAGCTGTAATTAAATCGATTGTAAAGCTCCAGAAAGAACCAATCTGGAATGTTTTGTTTAGTATATTAATGTTTCATGTACACACAGATCCAAGGTTAGATATGCGTCATATTAACATCTCCCATTTAAACCACAGTCATTCAATATTTAAATAATATTTTGTATGTATTTCCCAGCACAACCATACTCTTAGTTATTTGTGTTATGAATGTGAAATATAGGAAAGGAGAAGTTTGTAACTTGCGTCTTGATAAACATTTAGTAGGAAAACTACGCCAGTGTGAAATATTGTTTGGCATTATTTTTAATTTTAACCTATTCAAGTTAACTGGCAGTAAAGAAACCAGTAAAGTTCAAGAAGTGATGTGAAGGCAATGTAGTCCTTGAAAGTAACAACATTTTTGTCATTTACAGGCACCTTGACTTCAATTTGGACAAGACACTGTTTTTCTTTATTGCTGGTCGGTACGAATTCTCGAATAAAGGAGCAGATATCTTTTTAGAATCCCTGTCGAGATTAAACTTCCTTCTCAGGGTAAGGCTCTCTGAAGCTCTTCAATTAGCATGCCAATGAATCATTAAGCATCTGTCTGAAGCCTCATCTGATTACCTTGTTAAAGCTGTTCATGATAAATGTTACAGTATTTGTACAATGTTATACAGTATATTGAAAAAATTAAATGCGCTCTACTTTGTCCTTCTTTATTAGGTAAATGAATCATCCTGAAGGTCATATTAATGATAATAGGTGACACTCACACTGTTTCTGATGCACTCTATATTTACACACTCTTTGTGAGCCCAAACAAGGGTTAATCTGAGGATTAGGCATTCTCAATTAGAGCATATAAGGTACTGCAATGTGTTTTTTGCTGGGGTGCTCTGATGTGCTTTAGGATTATTGTTAGCATTAATAGTAAGGGTAGAGATAAGACTGCATCTGAAATCCAATTTGAAGGTGTCCTGCAGCTTGATTATCCTGGTTAATACAGAGCAGATGTGTAAAGCAAAGTGTCACTTTTAAAAGTATTCCCTGAAAAACCCATCTTCTAATAGAAACTGCAACCAGCAGTTGTTGTGTATTAATACTAAATATCTTGTATATTTAGTTTTGGTCAAGCAGGTTAAGCACAAATTGTGTTAAACAGAGAAGATCAAATCCAATTCTTTAATAAAATAATAATAAACTTTATTTTATGTAGCGCCTTTAAAGGTGGCGTCTCAAAGTGCTTTACAGAATGACAACAACAATAAAAAAATACACAAGATAAAACACATACAATACACAGAAGAGACCGTGGATGGTGGTACTAAGTAAAGTAGGAGCAGAGGGGCAAATAATGGAACCAGTTAAGTAAAGTTTCTTCTAAAGCAGAAGGTTTTGAGTCTGGATTTGAAGGAGTTAAGAGAAGGTGACTCTCTGATATCCTAGGGGAGAGAGTTCCAAAGCTTTGGGGCATATCAGGAGAAGGCCCTGTCACCAATACAATGTAGACGGGCTTGGGGGACAGTAAGGAGAGCAGAATTAGAAGAGCGAAGGTTGCAAGGTGGGAAGTAGGGCGATATTAGTTCAAACAGTTACTGAGGTGCTAAGCCATGCACAGCCTTATAGGTGAACATGAGGATGTTAAAGTCCACACGGAATTTGACAGGAAGCCAGTGCAAGGACTCCAGGATAGGAGTAATGTGATCACTTGCAGTTGACCTGCAGGATTCTGGTTGCCGTATATTGGACATACTGCAGTTTGTTCAATGTAGATTTAGGTACCCCAGCAAGTAGAGCAATACAGTAGTCAATTTCGGGAGAACACAAATGTGTTGATCAGGTTTTCAGCCACAGTTTGAAAAATAATTTGAAAAGTAATTTCTAGATTAACTTTGGCCTATGCAGAATTTGACGTATGAATAAATACAGAATTGTATATTGTTATTTTGAAGGTTATGAATGTGTTATTGCATGGTTTGTCACATTATGCCATCCTGTATAATGAACAGTTTTTAATTATTTGATTTAAACTTCATGTATATGTTATGTATGACAGCATGTACTACATGCTTCAAAGCAAGGTTGGTCCTTTCAATCCCTCTCCTGGATTTATCTTATTTTTCTACTGCTTTTTATTGTTAGCATTATGAGCAAAAACAATATTACTTTTACTTATGTTAAAGTGAAAGGGATGTTTCTTATAAGAAATGCTCCTACAGGCTGCCTGAAGCACAGTAGTTTGAGACCTGTCAGGCTTCACAGTTTACAGACATCTCCTGTGAGCACAAATATTAAAAATGTGATCCCTTTTTTTATGGGGATTCTTAAGATCCGACAAAAAGACAGAATTGCTGATATATGCTCACATGTAAATAATAATGTCACTTTGAAATGGAGTTTCTCAAAAAAGAAAATGTAGTTTAATTAGAGAACTAGGAAGCAAACTATTATCACAGAAGTACCCATTCAGGGTAAAAAAAGTTTTTTTTCTTTTTTCACTTTCAATTTTTTGAATAAACTAAGGTTTAATTATTCAGATCCAGTTATATTTGTTTGACAGAGTAAGCTATGCAGTGAGAAATTGTAGGCCGTGGAATATAATGTTTGCAAATGAGAAGATAGTATTTAGGTTTAAGATGGTGTTTGTTTTTGTGGAATTGCTTTGAGTCTACTTAAGTAATATATTGTGTTATGTTTTACAGTTTTAAAGGTTACTGAAAAAATGCCTAATTTTTACCTATCTGAACAGCTATTAAATGCCCCAAAATTTAATGATTCATAGTTGTGTTTTTATCATAAAGAGTATTTTTGTTGTAGAACACCAGACAATACCCTTAAAACTCTAATAAAATTTCAATATAAAAGCCCGTGGCAAACAATGATTTTTAGCCTTTTTTTCTTCAAAGTAAATGGGTGACTCTTATAAGTAATCTTCTAATGTTAATGTGATAAAAAAAAACTGCTGTTCATTATCTCAAGACTATAAGATTTCCAGTGAGCTGAAAATGAGAGCGAAGGATTTGCAAAATGTTTGAATTGGAAACTGTGTGTCCAGTGAGGTATTTGTTCTGTGAGTCAGGGCTGGTTTTGTGCACTGCTCCAGAAGATCTGTCAGTTGGAAAGACCGACCATTTTATTTTTGCAGGTTCCTTTCTCACTCATACTTGCAAGATGTCCCTGAAATCAAAAAGCTTCTGTTATCCTTGAAGCCCAGCCCACTGTGAAACATTACTCCTTGGTTTGTCTTTCTTAGGTTCATAAAAGTGATGTGACTGTGGTGGTGTTTTTCATCATGCCGGCCAAGACCAATAACTTCAATGTGGAGACTCTGAAAGGACAGGCAGTTCGCAAACAGCTCTGGTAAGGTGCCATTTTCCTGGTTTCATTGCTGCTACCAGTCTAGTTCTGTAGTTATTCTGTACATGGCAGTTTTTGTATGCACTCAGATGTATTAAGTTTGTCACAAAATGGTTGTTTTGTTATGTTGGATTAGGTGTATTTGAAATCATTTTTGTCTTTTGTCTTTTGGCTCCTCAACACCCTGGAATCTACTTGCACCCACTCCAATTCCAGAAACAGGGTTTAAATCCCCCCCAGTGTGTTGTGTATATTTTATCGTATTGTATTCTATCTTGTATATTGAATTGTATTCTGTCCGCACTTTGCACTATGTGTATCCTGTCTACAATATCTATGTCAGTGTCCTGTCTTTATTTGCACAGTGGACCAGGAGGAACAATATTTCATTCCACTGTATACTTGTACTGTATATGGCTGGAATGACAAATAAACGTGAACTTGAGCTTTTAGAACTACCAGACTATAGCTGTATGAAAATGTAAGTGGAAAATTATGATCCTTACTGATGTTGGTCACTAGAAAATCACTTCATGAATTGCTTTGCTTGTATTACCCAATCACTAACTCGTGCAGTGGTACTCAAAAGCTAGAAAATGCCATATGCTAATGGGCTGGAGGAGAGAACAGATATTTCCCTTTCAAGTTTCCTCTTTTATAATACACTGCACACACTGATGGAGTTTGTTACGACAAACGAATGTGTCCTTGTTTTTGCATTAAGAATTGTATAGCTGGAAAATGCATAGCCACCAGAAGATGAAATTTTGATTTAAGCGAGGAATGTGGTGCCATAGAAACTGGGATAGCAAAGCTCCTGGACTTCGTTGATGAACCCTCACAGGGGCAATCAAGCAACCTAAGGAGCCAGGGCTACTGTATTCACCTCCCTTCACGTTAAAGTTCATGTCAAAAGCACCTATAGTAATACATGGTAAAAGCCAGAACCAGCAGGGCCCTAGTGGTTAAGCATCGTGGCCAATATGTCATGTTGTCTCTGAGGTTGTAACGGAGGAATTAAGATCTGGGTGGTTAAAACCTTGAAGACATGCCGAGTAGCATACAACACAGATATCGGGTAAGGCAGCACCCAGAAATAAGGCCCACGGTCTGACAGGTGGGAAGAGGGGGGGCATGTTGACCTGGCCTCTAGGGGTCTCCAGAAAAAGGCATGTTTGCAGTCAAGGTCTTCCTCAGTCACTTGATTAATGGCAGATGAAGCCTGGACCTGCTGCTTTATCTCCTGCTGTAAAAACAGTTGTTAAACCTGCAACTGACCCGCTGCAGATCAATCATCTGCCAAGCTTTAGTGCTCATGGTGTCAGGGGAGAAATCTCTGGGGTGCTTCCAGTGTTCCAGTGGGGTAGGACCAAGATCAAACTCTTGATCGTTGGGCAGCGGAGACCCTGATGGGCACCCGATGAGGGCAAAAGAACCCAGTTTAGCACAGGTGCCATGTGACCCATCCCCTGACATGCCTGTTGCACATAGACCCTGTCCCCCTGCATGCCAGTGCCATGATCGGGAACTGTGTCACATGGCATGGTATGTTCCTGGAGAGCTTTTTCCCCTTGGCTAGTGTGTGGTCATCACCAACCCATCCAGGCAGAGAGCGGCAACAAAGAACATATGATAAAGAACTTTTGAAGATTTTCTTACAGTTTGCCCCAGGTCCTGTCAAAAAACGTTAGTTGGGTTTAGATTTGGATTTTCACTCGGCCCAAACTTTCTTTCAATTCAGCCATACTGTTGTACTGTATATTTACTTCTATGAGTATGTTTATGCATGTGTATGTGTTTTTCTGCTGCATGACCCACTTTTTTGCTTCGCTTCAGCTGACAAATGGATAGCTTAACATTCTCCTCTAGAATGCTGATATAACACTGAATTCATATGGTGTTTAATGGAAAGGCATCAGGTCCTGAGTTAGCAAAGCAGCCACAGATATGATACTCCCACCGCCATGCTTGACAGTGTTCATAGGGTTCCTCCGTTGGAAGCCACTGTTTGGTTTTCACCACATGAAATGCTGGTAACAAAGATCAGATTTTGACTCGCCTGTCCGGAGAACATTCTTTCAGTAGTCGTGTAGATCATCTCTGATAGCAATCTGAGAAAAAAAATATTTTGTTCACATTCTGTAATTTATTCATGGATACAATGGTTTGTTTTCTGTGCTTGTTGTTATACATTTTGTAATTGTAAAGCATTCTGTTTTTACAGGGATACTGCACACTCGGTAAAAGAGAAGTTTGGTAAAAAACTCTACGATGCATTATTAAAGTAAGTGACTCTAGTTAGACCTTTTATATAACATACAATGTACAAGCTCTTTAATGTCCAGAGGCTAGGCTGTTCTCACTACTTTGTTGTCCCCAGCATGCCAGTGGCATGATTTCATAATGCAATTTATTCATCATCTGCTCAGACTTTTATCTACTGCTTAAAAACATGCTGCCAAACCAAGAACTGTGTCCTTTCTGTCCTGCTGTGCTGGGTAGACCTTGCTTAGAATGTCCTGTATGCCAGGCTCAACGAAAGAGCCTGAACCAGAATATTTTGCTTCGTTCTGGGGTTTGTAGTGATTGTATCCTACATGTAGAAGAAATAGATTCAATTGAGTCTGATGTGTACAGTATGTCATTGCCTTTAAATGTAATGGAGGAAATTATCCTGAAAGAGCAGCACCTTTAAGAGAACAAAGATAAAGTAATCTAATATTTCTGCTTTAGTTGAGTAAACTTTACTAGAATTTAATGTGAATTTTATACTCCTTCTTCTTGTGCATGTCATATTAGACTGGGAGATGTCATATCATGCCATCGGCCCGCTAACAGGGATTAGAAAGTATACCCTATGGGGCACTGCAGAGCAGCCAATCAGACCTCACCTGTATTTTTGTGGAAGCTGAAAGGGAACTGAAACACCTGGAGAAACTCCATTCAAACCCTGGGACAGCATGCAAACTCTACACACAACCAACTTCATTCCGGAGTAGAACCCTGAACTCAACACCTGTGAGAGAACAATACTGACCATTGCCATTGTACTGCCCAGATTGCTACTAAGAAATAAAGGAAAAAGTGCATAGTGTAGCAGTAGAATTAAGTCTGAAATGCCCTTGTTTATAACAGAATATAGTCCTGAGGATATAAACATATAAAAATACCATTGATTATTCTGAAGAGCAAAGATATCTAATCACAGAACTGTTTTGACATAAGTAACTAAGATAATGAGTACATTGGCTCCTATAATGAGAATTCCTTGCTTCCATATACTGGGTTTTCATCTCAAAGCATTTACATCTAGGAGGGGACCTTCCTGATCCAACACTGAAGTACCACACCGACCTTCTGACACCTGGTGGGCATCATGTGCCACCAGCCCAGATACATGGCTGATCAGCTGAAGGGAGAAATTACTTCACCAGAAGAATTAAGGGGAAAATTTAGAAAGCCAAGATTGATCATATACCAAAGTTGAATTTATATATGACACGGTGGAATATTGTTGGGATTAAACTTTAAAAAGCTAATTAGGGGCTAATTGCGCAGATTAGTTGTCTACAATGCCGCTTTTCCACTTCAACAATTCTAGCAATAACTTAACTTTGAGCTTTACAACTCACCCCCACCTTCTGTACACCAATTATGAGACAAAGACTGAAGATAATGAGGGAGGTTACAGGAGGTGGTCACCAGCTGAATCATCACTTTGGACAAGTGACCTAAGGTGACAAATGCAAGGTACCACTCAGAACCAGTGCCATTTACGTCTTGTCTTGCGTAAATCCTCACGTTCACTTTCTATTAATCAGCATTTTGGTAAAGAAAGTTTTTTTTTTTTTCAGGGGAGAAATTCCGGACATGACGAAGATTCTGGATAGGGATGATATGACCATCATGAAGAGAGCTATCTATGCAACACAGGTAGGGTAAGAATCCAGGATCCCTTGTTATACTGTGTCTAAACTGCAGATGTTTGGATACAGTAATGTAAGTAAAGAGGAAGCCACAATTCATTAGTGTTTGTCCTGAAGCTGCTCTGGAATTTGTCGGCTGTAACCACATTACATGGTAACTTTGCAATTATTTATAATTTTTAGATCCAAAGTCTAAGAGCAAAAATTACATTAAGAAACATCATTGGGAAGCACTTTGTTTTTTGGGGGGAATTATTTTTTTTACTAATAGGCAGTTTCTCTACCTCTGAAGCAGTGCAACCGTTTTAGCCTCCATCTAGCTTTGTTTTGTGGTCCTTTAATGGTGAGCACCATCTCAAGTTGCTTTATAAAAGGCATATTGTTGTTACAGTATAAAATGAACAACTCACAATGGATGCTTAATATTAAACAAAATAAAATTCAAGAAGCTCGCAATTCTGTTCTTTCAGAATTCAGATTTCTAGCCTTGATACAAAACGTTTGTTTTCTTAGACAAGGTTAACAGTTTTGAACAACATTTCAGTCAGACTTAAGAACGGCTTTGAGCTACATTAAGTCATCCAAGTCTGAAAGGAGCAGTTTAGGTTACTGTACTGTTAAAACAAAGCAATCAGAGCCAGGGAAACTGACAGAAAACAAGACTTTTAGGTTACAGTAATTCTTACACTTACAAAGCTCCACTCCACTTACTGGACACCCCACTGAAAGTGCATTACAGATAATGGGAAGTCGGTCTCAGTTTTACATCTCATTCGAAGGACGGCACCTTTTTTTATAGTGTTCCCATCACTATACTGGGGGCATTAGGACTCTCACAGACTGTAGAGTGAGTGCCCCCTACTGGCCCCACTAACACCTCTTCCAGCAGCAAAATTAGCTTTCCCAGGAGGTCTCCCCTCCAGGTACTGACCAGGCTCACACCTGCTTAATTTCAGTGGGTTGCCAGTTGTGAGTTGCCGGGTGATATAGAGACAGTTTAAGTGGTTCTCCATTTTAAAATATCAGTTCTGGACTGAAAGTTAAACATACTAATTTTCCATTGGCCCTTACCAATCGTGGCCCCCTAATAATCCCCATCTATAAATTGGCTTCATTACTCTGCTCTCCTCCACACTAATAGCTGATGTGTAGTGAGTGTACTGGCGCACTATGGCTGCTGTCGCATCATCCAGGTGGGGCTGCACATTGCTGGTGGTGGAGAGGAGTCCCCATTACCTGTAAAGTGCTTTGAGTGGAGTGTCCAGAAAAGCGCTATATAAGTGTAAGAAATCATTATTATTAATTGTACTAAGGAGGCCAATCTTTAGATCTTTAGACATTGCTTCCTTAGATTTATTACTTCCAGTTTACAAGCAGGGGGTGTCAGTTGTTCCGTAGAAACTGTGGGCACTGGTGATCAGGTGTAATCAGGGGTAGTGGTGTAGGATTTATCTTTGGCTAGGGGCAGAGTCTTGAGCATAATTCAAAACCACATGGGTCGCCAGGCATGAAGTCCGAATGTGTCATTCGGTGCCAGTTACAATTGTATTTTTGTACCACCAGGAAAATTGTCTTGGAATATGGAGGGAGTTTAATTTTAAAAATCAGTGCAGTAATTAAGATGATATGAAACAAGAACACAATCATGAACCTTAGCATCGCCAAAAGAGGCACAGGAGCAAATTCTAACAGACTATCCACCATTCTACATTTAAACCTTGGCTATTGCAAACCACACCAATGGTAAAAAGGGTGTTAAAAATTAGGAGTCAGTGCATCTTTTGGAGTGCTGTTTTATTTTATTTGGGGCTTCCCCTTATTTGGTTCAGACAGCTTTTGGGCTTTTATAACTTCTTGTAAAACTACAGAGAATGCTATAATTATTTAATGTGTCCAAAACTTAAATAAAGCTTCTATAAATGATATTTCAAATGAATGGCACATATCAAAGTTTAAAAAATTCCTGAATGTTTTGGTTCAGACACTTACTTCTTGCCTGTTAAAAATAATAGTGATACATTTGAATACAGCACAAACTTTTGAATAATGGGATCATTCATGACCTGTACAAATTGGAAGCTGTGGTTAAAAAAAAACAAACAACTTTCATTTTAAAGTCCCTTAGCTAAAAGGGTCATCCACACCTTCAACACTGCTGCAGCCCATTAAAGAAGAGTGCTTTTTGTGTACAAGCTTTTCTGAGGAGTTGAGCTAACAATCGAGAAAATAAAAACCCTGATTTCAGCCGAGAAGAAAACCCATGTGACACGTTCTGACGCATGAACCTACATTTCCAGGGAGCGGACTTTGAAACAGTCTTTTCAGAATTCAAGTGAATGAATATTAATTAACACGAATTATTATTAGTTCATTGTCCATCCATGAATCATCTCTTTGATCAATTTTCTGTTCAAAAGGCCATTAGCAATGGTTTTATTGGGTTCATTGACTAATGGTCTCTCACATTCTATTAATGAACAATGTTGGGATCCTGTTTTTGCAACTAAATTAAGTGTATTAATCCCATAGTATGGAAATGAACAATATTTACTTGCTGTTGTGATGACCTTCATGATTTCCTACTAAAGTAATTGAGGTTTAGTACCAGTCCATAAACACATAAAAACACCAGAGACAAAAGCCCACATGGTGCTTTCTTTGTCTGATTCACATTAGTTGAAAGACTCGTTTGCCAGTCCATGCACATATTTTAATGAATTATCTGTGACAGTGTGAATTCATTACACCTCCCAATGTATTAAAAAACAAAACAAACTATGTCTTCTGTCTTTTCTTAAAAGTGTGTCTAAAGAGTTCAAACAGTGCAGCCTGACTTCATTGTCTTCACATTGAATATTCTTGAAGATTTATTTGGTGCCTACTACAGATATAATGAGTCACTCCATCTTACCCTCTCAAAATCACACTCCCCTCTTTTTGACCAGAGATTGCACCTCTTTTCTCTGGTTTTAAGCAGTAATGTGCATTGTTTCGTAAAGAGTCGGATAAGTCTAAACAACACGTCCCTTTTCCTTTTTCAACATCATCTCCCCATGTGTTCACAAGTCTTAGCATTTCATTTTCCAGCTTCAATTCAGAGTTCTTTTCCACCCCAATCATTCATGCCCAGTAGATACGTTTCCAGGAGGAGCACACCCATCGGTGTTTGATCAATGTTTTAAAGACTCGCTAGCAGGACTGGGGGAAGAAGGGTCGTCAGTTTATGAGTGCTTCAGCCGTTCCCTCACTGCGAGGACATACAGTAAGTACGTTGCTGGTGGTAATTGTGGTTTGCCGGGCCTTTTTCAGCGCCAGAGTCTTCCCCCAGTGACCACGCACAACATGTTAGATGACAGCGCGGATCCCATTCTCAGCAACATCCGTCGCATCGGTCTCTTCAACAGCCGCACGGACCGAGTCAAGGTACAGCGCCCCCCTCTGCACCACAGAGCAAAAACATGAGCAAACGGATGTTATGACAGAATTATGGCTGTCGACATAATTTGCAGAAAATAACAGCTCACCATGTGGAGAGGGTTACTTTTGGCCATGCTATGCAGAATCCTAAACTAGCATGCTTAAATTAGCGTTGTGGAGTTTCTATCTTATCTCCATGTGGAGGATGCTTACATGAAATAGAATCAAATTTTAAATGTTGTCACTAACCTTCACTCAGCGATGACAGCTGTGCTAAAGCAGCTCCACATTATTAAAAGAAGCCACTGAATAAATAGTATATTAAATTTGTATATACTCACAAATTCTCACAAATCAAATTCATGAAGAATTGTCTCATTCACAATCACTTTTAAATACACATTATGCCACCATTATTATTGTTATTGACCATTTATTTGTATATCAGACAGCTTTATCTCTATGACTGGATAACAAGTGCAAAATTACAGTAGGAGCATTGATTCTTGAAAAGCTGTACAATAAATTTCACTAATATTTTACTAAATAGCATACTTACTTTCCATGGTAAGGTTTAATTATACTATGTTACAGTATATATAATCTTATCATCTTATAATAATTAACCAAAGTTTTATAAAAGTGATTGTAATGTATCTATGGTTAAGATATTTATAATGTACTTATGCTGATAACTTATTATAGTATCATGGTGCAAAAATGGTATAGTGTTTTTGCAATGTATATGAATGAAAGGTGCTTATTGAATTAAGAGAACGATAGTATTTGTAGAAATAGCTTTACAGTTAGTAAGAGTTTTGCTGCTTTTCAAATGCACATTTAATTGTCTAGATATTATTTCACTACCTAGAATACACTGTCAAAATATTGTAATAGAAAATAGGGAATTTTCCACGTAGGCTTTGTTCCTGATGTTATACGACACATCACAAGTCTGGATAAAGCATTAAAGTGGCTTCTTATATTTAGTTGCTGTTCTCCTTTATTAAGCCAAATACTAATGTAAGGAAAGTTAACACTTATTCATACATTGTAATCTGATGGTTAGCAAGCAGAGGTAGTAGATTGACCATCATTTCAACTGAGAAGCTCTGACATGACAAAAGCTCAGAAGAACTTAAACACCACAAAAACATTTATATAGGGTTGTAAATTATAACCACAGATTCAAAATCTTTCTGCAGTTTCACTGAGATTGACGATATCAGCTTATTAAGTGAAATCAAGTTTTTGGATCACTGTATGGTAAAGATCCTGCTCCGTCCTATACACTTTTTCTGGTTGATTCTGAGGCTGAGGTTGCTCAAGAATTAACACGTTTGAAGTGCCATTATTTTAAGTTAATTAACTCCTGAAAGATACTTAACACTGATTTTCCTTTTAATGTGCTGTGTAGATGCCAAAGAGTTGCAGTTATCTCTGATCATTGATACATTGGCCCCACTAGAGAGGTTGCTGGAGTATTCAGGGCATGACTAGGAATTTGTTATAGAAGTTCATGAACATTAGTAAATTTAGTTGTTTGTTGTCTTAGCCTTGAAGTGAGTGGTGTTACAGTGACACTAAGACGCTTTCTCTTCTTTAGGTCGTATTCCACCCAGAGTTCCTCTCCTCCACCAGCCCCCTGTTGCCGATGGACTATGAGGAATTTGTGCGCGGCTGCCATCTTGGAGTCTTCCCTTCATACTATGAGCCTTGGGGATACACGCCAGGTAATCTGGGAACTGCTGGGAATGGACATTGTTTGTTCCTTTGGCTAGCCCCTTTCCCAGAGGGCCACACATCCCAGTAATTGAAGTTAAGGGTTTGCATTATACAGAAAAAGACCCTGCATCTCTCTGAGATTTGCGTTTGCCATGGCTTCAAATCCAACGTGTCCTAATTCTTTCCTCATAGATACCTACATGGCAGGGTAAATATGCTGTTTCTGTATCTTTAGACCAAAAGTACCATATATTCTTTTAAAACATTTAATCTCAAAGGTTTGTTTTTTGAAAAAGTTAATCCTTTACTTCCTAAACTTCATGAATTCACTTTTGGAGTTAATGAATGCTTCAAGATTTAATGTCCAATTTTCAGGGAACCCAAAAAGATGCCTTTTAAAGTCTACACCCCCTTTCACAATTGTCCTATTTTGTTGCCTTATAGCATACAATTAAAATGCATTAAAATATTACATATTGTACCCCCACAACTTCCAATAGATAAAATACAGAATTACAAAATTCATGGTGACTTGGGTTTTTTAATGGCAAGGGATTTACCTGAGGTTTATGGAGATATTTTGCCATTCCTTTCCACAGGAACTATATGCTTGATGTTAATGATTGATAATGGAACTTTGAATAATTGTTTGAAACATTACCTTAAATTGAAACACAATCATGTTTGACTTGCATGCAGTGAAGGAAAGAGACTTGTTTTGGTTAAACTGCAAGTTGTGAGTGGTGAGGTTTTAATGTGTTGTATTATGCTGTCATTCTGCTTTTGCTCTTCTTGCATCTTTTTTACTCATTTCTCATTCATTTTTCAGTTTGTCGTACTTTATGCCTTTGATATTTAATCATGATATTAATTGCTTGCATTTATAAAGCACTGCCTAAAGTAGAATTTTACCAGGACACCAGGACAAACAGTGGGGTAAAGTCTCAATTAAACGACACCGTACAACACCACTGTACTGAGCACTGGTCTGTATGTTCTGGTCTAGAAGGAAGAGCACCATCTTAAAGTAGCCAAATGTTTTTTCTTTAAAGTATCCCATCCAGGCACCAACTAAGCCCACCCATGCTTTTAATCCCTGATCTAGAAAGATGCTAATAGGAATGTTTGTTTTATGAAGGTGAATGTACAGTGATGGGTATCCCCAGTGTGACCACCAATCTCTCTGGCTTTGGCTGCTTCATGCAAGAACATGTTGCCGATCCAGCCGCGTATGGTAAGGAGGATCAAACTGTCCAGAAACTTAATTGCTGCTCCACACTTCTCTTCTAGGTTTATATCTAGCAGTAGCAGTAGCCTTGTAGCTGATAGGTTGTGGGCTCAGCTCCCAAGTGAGACACTACTGTTGTCTGAGTATTGTTGTACTCTTGAGGTTTACCTGAATTGTTCCAGTATAACACTCAGCTGTGTAAATGGGTGCAAATGCATCAGCCAAATAAATGAGTAAATGTTAATAATCTTGCTTTTTTATTTGTAATATGGGTTCCCAGAATAACTAGAAATGGCATTCACTTTTTTTTTCCTCCTCCATTGTCATGTGCTGTTCCTGACTGTTTCCCATTCCTGCAGTGCTCTTTAAGATTCGGCTCCTTCTCCTTCTTCTCCTCCAGGGATCTATATTGTGGACAGGCGTTTCCGCTCGGCGGACGAGTCCTGCAATCAGCTGACCCAGTTCATGTTTGGGTTCTGCCAGCAGTCCCGGCGCCAGCGCATCATCCAGAGGAACCGTACCGAGAGGCTGTCCGACCTGTTGGACTGGAGGTACCTGGGCCGGGTAAGAAGCAGGAGCGGGCTCTCAGCCCTGTCGTCCAGAGAAAAACCTTTTACCACCTGTTAAACAGGAACATAGTGATGCAGCAAAAAAAACACAGCCCAGTGCATTTAATAAATACTGTGAACAAAAAATGTCAAACGAAATCGCAGAATGTGAATACATTTACGGGACAGGGAATCATGATCGGATTTACTAAATGAATTATGACACAGCGTCTGAATGGAGCTCCCGTATTGTAAATTAGCATTGGAAATGATCCCCTTGAGCATGAGCAAATCCTGTCAGCTTTGACATATGATCAGACTGTCAAGAGGCTGCTGCTCAGGGATATTCTGCCTGTTCCTGCGACGGTGCTGCACTGGTGTAGTAACCCTGTGCCTTTGAGGACATGACTAGTTTCTTTACGAAGCCAGAGTCCTGGTTTCTCTGGACTAGTCTGCTGATTGTTGAAGCAGAACGTCTAAGTTTCTAATCTTCTCTCATAGTCAGCTCCCGTGCAGCCAGGGTAGTAGCAACCAGCGTTCTTTCTTTCTCATGTCGGGCACGATTATATCACTTTGTGTTCTTCTGTTAATAAACAGTAGTTCCTCTTTTTATAGATTTTTAGTTGGCTCATTGTGGCTTTTTAAACTGTGCACCTGTATATATTGGAAAATTGAACTGCACTTTGTTCATTGATCAGATGTTGGATTGAAACCCTTTTTTCTCACCAACTCTACTGGACCCTGTGTAGTGTTGGCGCATTTCTGCGGTAAATTGTCACTTCACAAATTGATTGGTAGGTCTAAAAAGGCGGACTCACTTAGCAAGGCACCTGTACCAAGGATTGTACACATTTGCTCAGATGTGCTTGAGTGGGGGGCAGGTAACCTTAATGACTTTTATTTCCAAAATGTGCCACTATTAGTTACATGTACTATATAAACTCCAAGCCAGGCCTCTGATGCTAACTGCAACTCCACAGAACAGTCAAGAACTATAGTTGTTTTGGTAATTAATCTGTGCTTCATAAATATAAACACAGAAATGTCTGATTCCAGTGGTTCAATCTAACTGCTTAAGCAAAATTGCATCAAAAGATGTTTTTAAAATAATTTTCAGAAAATGATTAAATAAAAAAGAGAGAGAAGCACACTTTGTATTGATTCAAGGAGCTTGTGTCAGTGTCTACCATTTTTATCGATTCATTGCTTCATTGCAAAGAGAGGTTACTGGAGTTCGTAGAATGCAGGTTCACAAGCGTTTGTTTTTTGTCTGACACCTCACTAACAAGCGTTTTGTTTTTCAGTATTACATGCATGCCCGCCACCTTGCCCTGAGCAGAGCTTTCCCAGACAAGTTCAAAATGGACCCTACAGCCCCTCCACAGGTAAGGAGTCAGGGATAAGAGGAAGTGAAGAGGAATGTGGGCAAACTTGTGTGCTTCCCTGTTTTTCTTCCGTTTGGAATACTGGACATTTTTCAGTCATATATTTCTTTTAAAAAAAGAAAATGATTGGGTATAATTCTTATAATTTACATGCTTTTCCACAAAGAGGGTTTTGTCTTTACACAAAAGGTAGAAATAATCATCTGACTACCCAGCAAGCTACAGTAGATGGACTGAATGACCTCCTCCTGTTTATAATTTCTTTAAAAAGTAAAAAACATATATTTTTGCAAATAGCGGTTAATCTTTATGTCTTTTTGACAGAAATAGCTGATTCCAGCTCGACATACATGGTTTTATGAATAGTCTGGCAAAATTCCATCAAGAGATTATTTTTTTAAGAAAATATTTTTCTTATCACATAAATCAAATATTCTACCCCTGCTAGTTATCTTAGTTCTTAAGGCATTACAGTTATAGATTATTAATCATTGTTATAGATGCAGGCTTCTCCTACCAGAACATCATTCTGAGCACTTGAAAACTTGATTACTGAGTGGTTAAGCTGTTTACTACGCCTTAAAGGATAAGTTTGCAGTTCATGTTAGTGTATTTCATTCTTTTCTAATTGGTGTAATGCATTATGACTGTCACTTAAGGCATCACTCTGAGTTTTGACATGAACAATTTCCCATCTTTTTCTGTTCACCACACTTCATGAATGCTTTATGGCTAAGGGAGCTGGAGGCTATCACCTGGAGTGATATATAATAATATGTCATACAATGTCTATTTGTAAGCTGTTCACCTTTATCTGAAGGGCACCTAAGTAATGGAAAGAGCTGTTAACTGCACTTTGCAGGCCATCGTGGGGGCTGGTACATTAAGGTTTGAGTGAACCAGAGAATGAACCCTACCCAGTCATGCTGGGAATTCTTTAAATGTCACAAACACAACAGTGAGAGATGCTTACTTTTTGTAAAGGCATTGGACCTTTACACGCCATCTGACTAGACATCTGACCCTCACTAGCAGCACCTTTGTAGTTCCCTCTGAAGGGGTCAGATCCAGCCTCCTGTTGTTTTGGCCAAGAAAGGGGTGACACTTTCCTCCCCTACTACAGCTAGACCCTTGATTACCCCTAGGATCTTGTATCTACAGTACCTTTATTTCTGTTAGTTTTCCTTTTGAGGCTGCTGAATGTTTACTGGTGGTATTTGATTATTTTCTTCTTCATGTAACTGTGAACTACAAGAACTTTGTTCCTTTATTTAAAAAAAACTTGCTTTAAAGTAGCACTTGCTACTTGTGTCTTGTGTTGAGTTCTCACAAGAGTTAGTTTTCATAAGACTCCAGCTTATGAAACCTTTTCCCTTCCACGCTTGTCTTCAGTTACTGGTCATGCTGAAACATTAAAAGGATTAACTCTCAGCTAAGAGCTCCTTGTGCTCTTGTTGTCTCTCCTCACACATGACTGTCCAGTCTGCTTCAGCTGTAGTCTCACTCTATTCTTTCTTATTCTCTGCTGGGAATGAACTTAAAGGGGAACTGCAATGCTATTTCAGATTTCGGGGCTAGAAAGAATCAGCATTGATGAGTGCATTTCAAACTGCAGTAAAAGCAAAATGTACACGGTAACTTGTTAAACCTCCCATTTACATCACAAAATAGATGCAATTTCCAGGTATGTGGAGTGCCATATTCTGTGATTCAAAAAGAGGCAACAAAACTGGTGACGTGTGCAGCCCTATGACATTGTAATCAAACAAGCTTTTTTAATCCAAAAGAAATATTGCTTTAGATTTCAAGATGGTTTTGCCAAAAAATACTACTTGTATTTACTTATGTATGTACTTGTAACTCTGCCTGCAGATCACGGGGAACATTTCTGCGGTGAATTGTCTGCTGTACAACTTGTATTTCTTTGCTCGCACATCACATTAGTCATTATGGGGACTAGTGAGCAGGAAGGGCTGCATCTCGTTGCAATTCGTGGAAGCTCGTATTGGCAACTTACAGTACTCTCACAAAGTTCACGATTTTTTATGCTTAATTCGAAATTGTTTTGTTACCCAGATTTAATAACCAGTCTGAGAAATTGGGACTGTAGTTCCCCTTTAAAGTAAATACACACGAGGGTATTTGATGATTATTTCATTATAAACTGCTTTCCAAAATTAGAAGTTGTAGGCATGCAAGAAGTCACGGCTCAGTCCAGTGAAGGTTTGAGATGAGTTTTAATTTGTCACCAGGACAGCCATTTCTGGAGAACACTGAAGGAGACACACGAAGGTGAATTCCCGCAGAGTTACAGAGGGCTTTATAGTCCACGTACAGCCATGGTCTCCCTATGTTATTACAATTAATAGGTATTTATGAGCCTCCATTACAAATCATATTGGGATTATGAAAAATATTTCCACTTATGGCAAAGTGGCTATTCATGATAATGTTATCCCCATCTTTCATTTACTCCTGAGATTTCACATACCGTACAGTAGCTGTTATCTATTTAAAATGCCAGAATAATGAATCCAGGCTAGAGACATATATCTCACAAAGGTTTGTTTTTCATCATTTGATAGCCTTTACTTGTTTCTCGCTGTTTTCTTTTCTTTCTTTTTTGGAGTAATATTCAAAGAACTTTCTAACATATGTATTTCCCTGTGTTTAAGTTTAACCTTTTTTTCAGTGAACTGCAGTAGCATTGAGTTCAATACCAAAGAAAAACAAATAAATTTTCACTGGCTTATTTTGCAGTGTGGGTGGCTCTAAATCCATGTGCTTCCAGCCTCCTTTATGGTACAAGAGCGAGAACATCAGTCATTAACTTTGATTTAATCTCTCCTAGTTTTGAAATTTTGACAAATTCTAGGATGGAAAAGGTTAATGGGATTCCTGTCTCCCAGAAGCCAAGTTGTCCATATTGTGCAGACAGATTTCTTTTTTATGACGCACCTGCTCTGTGTTGGATGAATTTCTGTCAGGTTTGACGCATGTTCTGAATGTTTAATTGACAGATTAACATTTGCTTGATGCTGCCATCCTACAGTTCTCAGCCAAGCTTCAGTTCTGCCCTCTGCCATGAGTCTCCAGCTTTCATGCAATTGAACTTGTAGAGCTTTTTCATTTGTTGTGTCAGTGATGTTTTCAGTTTCTATAAAACAAATTGGTTTTTATGTTCTTTAACTGTTCTTATCAGAGGACACAAATGGAGAATATATACAGTAGATGTGTTTTGAAAAGCAATAACTTTTCCCTAAAGTGTTGTTTCAGTATGGGACAAGCTACCCACCCATGTTGTTGAAGTCTATACCCTGGCCTCCTTAAAAAAAAACCATGTACAGTAGATGAAATCCTTGGATCAGTTAGTTAATAACTACCAAACAGGGCAGGAGAACTGAATAGTTCTCTCATTTGTACAGCCGTTATGTTTTTATGCATATATTAACGCTATGCATTTTCTCCCTGTGATCGTGTAGGTTTTCTCCGGGTGCTCTGGTTTCCTGCAAGTCTAAAGACATGCTGGCAGGTTAATTGGCTCCTAGGAAAATTGCTCTTGGCGTGAGTGTGTGCGTTTAATCTGCGATGGATGGGCATCCTTCCCAGGGTGTATCCTCCCTTGTGGTGGTTGCTTGCTGGGATTGGCTCCAGCTCACCAGTAAACCTGAATTGAATAAAGTGGTCAGAAAATAGATGGAAGTGCAATGACGAAGAAATATGCAGGCATACAGTATGGTGGTTAGCTGGCTGTTAATTGAGAGAACCTGCAGAATGAGGTCTAAATGAGTAATTGGCAGTCAGAGGGAGTGAAATTACATGTGAGGGTAAGGAGCTGTTGAGATAGGCTCTGTGTACAGTTTGCCACTCCTCTGGGCTAATTAATCAGCTTAAAAGACCAGCTAGGAGGTATAGGTATAGTCTGTTAGTGTGGAGATTATTGATTGAGCTTGTACAGGCCTGTAGGACTCTGAGCGAGGGATGCTTGAAAAAAGACAGCTTATGTCTGTACTGAGGGGTATCACAGGTGCTGGAAAGGTAGCCATTTGTTAAATTGTTTGTCAGGATCAATGAGAATGAAGTGCACTGTGCAGGAACATGATGGGACAGCTGAACAAGTTAAAGCAACGGCAAAAATTGAACTCTTTTGAAAAGCGAATTGCATGCATTACCTTTTTTCCATCTACTGTCTGTTATGCTGTTAGAGTGTATAATACTGTCTGTGCGTGGCTCTCTATGTAGTACATTTGTCTTGTAATCACGCTTGGTATTATACTCAGACATTTGGAAATTATTTAGGGAACGATTGATATGTCTCTTTATCTGTTTGGCTAATAAATGCCAATTTAGTAAATCTTACGTATTTTAAAGGTGCTATTTTTCCAGTTCTCTGGGTCTTCCATAGAGTTGTGTGCTGGGATGTTCACTATTTAGCAGACAGTATATGTCTTATCTCCTGGTCAAATTATTCTTCATCATGGACTTAGGTTTCACAGTTGTGATGAAGAAGCCAAGATATTCTTAGAAAACTACTACTGCTGCAGTTTTGCCACTTCACAGTTGCCTGTCTGATTTTATGATATGGATGGAACCGGCCTTTCCTGTACTAAACTGTGACAAGACTGAGGTTATGCTCTTAGACCCCCAGCCACTGCTGTGCAAAGTTGGTAATTTTGTTGTTATTGATAGTGCTGTTATTAAACCCTTGACTTACAGTAAGTTAAAAACTTTGGTGTTAATTTTGACTTGCTGCTGTCATTTGAAGCTCATGCTTCACTCATCGTAAGGGAATCTTCTTTCCATCTTCATAAATTTTATTAAGATTAAACAACCGTGCTGCCTGGTGTTCCTGGGGGGCCGAATTCAGTATGCCTGGAATTCTATAGCCTATCTGCTAACTAAAACTGCTCTGCCTCAGAGTATAGTTCCTGTACTTTGTAAATTGCATTTGCTTTCTTTGAAATCTAGAGCAGATGTTAAGGTTCTTCTGTTTACTAAGCTAGGTTACTGGGTACTTCTGCTAGACTGAACAGTCTAGCTAGCTAACACTAGGTTACCATAAGAACTTATTGCATGTGTACAGTACAACATTGCATAACTGGGATTTCTGTTCAGAGTTCTGATTCGGGTTTTTTGTATTCTACCTAAGACCAGGCTGCACACAATGAGCCATAAAGCCTTCTCTTGTGTAGCAGCATGATAGTGTAACTCACTGATCATTGGAGATTCTGTGACAAAACTCACTTAATGATTCTCTTTTACTGTCACTTTCAGTCCATCCTTTTGTTTTGCTCTTGCTCTTACTCTCCTGCAAGTATAAGTGCTGCACCCAGATTGTATCCCGTTACACTCCTCACTCTGACCCCTCCCGCCACCCCATCTGCACTCTTTCAGCAGCTCCCTGGCTCAATTCCTGGCATTAGTGGAGGGGAGGGGGTATGGCTGTCATGGCTGGGCAGCCATTCTCTCAGCTACGGGAGCTGCACCAAATACCCTCTGCGTATTTCACCTCTCTTTCACATTCATGAAGATCTAACCCAACTACTGAATGAATGAACTACTAACCCAACTACTGAACCATTGTATTGGCACATTCTAATTTGGGTTTTGTTACAAGTGCATGTAAGTAAATTGAGTGTGAAGAATGCTGTGGAAGTTCTGTGTAGCTCTCTGCTCTTGACAGCAGGTGTCTGACCTGAAGTAACCTCAGGCTGTTCTCTAAGCAACTGTAGCAGGTTTCTTGCTCTCCTGCTGATGGCTTTGCTGTCTTTCCAGACGGAGGGTTTCCGCTACCCTCGGCCTTCCTCAGTCCCCCCATCGCCCTCGGCTTCCCTGCACTCCACTCCCCACCACAGCGATGAGGAGGACGAGGATGATGAGCGCTATGATGAGGAGGAGGAAGCAGAGAAGGACAGGCAGAACATCAAGGCACCCTTCTCTCTGGGACCCGTGCCCCAGGGCAAGAAGAAGCAGCATGGCGAATATGGCAACTAAGAACCACAGATGCCACCCCTCTCTCTTCTGCTGTGCACTGTAGTCACCTGCCTGCTTCTGTAGTAGTAGCACCAATTTAGGAGTTAGGAATGATTGACTGAATGAAGGAATATTGGTATTTTTCATTATAATCTGACCCAAGGGGTTTTAATCTTTCCATTTGTCCAACAATGTATTGGTAAGAAGTAGTGACTGACTAGCTTTATCAGAAAAAATACTCATCGATGTATTGTCATCTTGGGAAGGTTGTCTATAGAGTAAACAACTCTAAGCTTTATAATTCTACCGGTGTGAAAGCTACTGTTTCAGTGAATGGCAATATTCCAAATGATTTCTGTGGTCAAAATTGACCATTATTTATTCTTTCTACAGCATGTTAAAATGAAAACCACACAAGGGAAAAAAATCAGTGTGCCAGTAAGATCTGCGTTATGTACACCAAACTGTTTCAGAGTTTGCCAGATGCCAGATGTTGTCTTTTGACTTGTTAAAAGAGCTTTCATGGAGCAAGTGTGTATCAGAGGATATGTTTTCTTACCTTCTGAAATTGTTGACATTGTTTGGAAGATTATTGACATGAAATGAAGTAACTATAAAAAAAAACCAAAGTAATTGACAAATGAATTTATATTTACCTTCCAAAGTACACTGTCCTGTGGTCTGCTACTTGTGTTCTCCACTGAAAGAGGTTGTTTGTGAGTTGTATGGTAAATGGTTTGTCTGATGCGATTCCCATGAGAAAATCTTAAATCTTACCATGAGAAATATTTGGGTTCTGATTCACAGAGATTTTTAAACACGCTGCTTTTCTTTTTTTCCCTAGATACTGCAAAGCACACTATTATTTAAGAAACTGAACATGGCATCCATAAAAAGCAAAAATTCTCTTTTGTTTTTTTCAAATAGGCACACAGCTGATTGCATTGAGTACTGATCTCTGACTTTAAATTCGTTTTTTCTTTTAAGAGGGGTGACATTGGAGGTTTACTTGCTGTGAGTGCTACCACTTTTCCTTAATCTTACTATCTTCATTTCTACACTTCTGTAATTGATTAATCAGTCTTCCTGGAATAGTTCAGCTACTATTCCAGTGAAAGTAAGGCGAAAAAAATGAAATAACTGAAGCTCAGAAAACTTGTTACTCATCTTTATTACACTGAAGACTTTGAATACCACAGTAACTCTTTTGCCTAACAGTCTAATGAGTACTGCGTTTCTAATAGTCAACAACCTGACTGCAAATAGCCCCAGAAACTGAAAGAAAAAGTAAAAAAAAGAAATTCTGGAGAAAAATGCCAGACATAAATATTACAGTGCATCATTTCAACATCAAACTGAAATAGGCCGAGATCAAGCTTTTGCAAACTTTGGTTCCTTCAGCCTTTATAAAATGCCCAGTTTATTTTTTTCTGTGTCAGTTCTTCCATTATACAGTACCTGTTATTTACTGTCTGGATTACAGCATGAGGCCAAAGACAGGGGTCTTTTGATATCTAAAGGCACTTTGATGCACAGTATTTATAGTGTGTCCAGGGTGATGTCTGGACTCCGTTGTTGACTTGTAAGAATTCTACTGCGGCGCCTCAAGAGGGCTTGTTGTGTTGCAATGAAGAGGAACGCCTTTTGACAATCTTAGGTTGTTCCTTTCCCAGGCAAGGAAGTACATTTGAGAATTTACTAGGTCTCCTGTGGTTTCAACATAGGGAGCAACAGATATGTGGTCCAGCTTGCTACAGTAGCTCTATATAGTGTGCAACTCATCAGACACGAGAAGTAAGTGAGGTTTTCGCATGATTAGAAGAAATTTAGAAATCGATTTAAAAGTAAGGACCAAGCCCCAGTAGCTGTTCAGACAATAAATCAATCAAGGTTGTTTCCTAAACCCTTGTATAATACCCTTGTATTAAACTTGTATAAACTCTTTTAATGACTTTATTAGGAGGATTTAGGAGTATGGAGTTTTATTCTCCTTTACTTTTCTTCTCCCCTTAACCTTTAAGTACTGCAGGTGTACGTCTTGCTTATATTGTGCTTTATCCCACCCCCTTCCTTCCGTTCAGAAAAGCACTGGGTCAGTTCAAGACCCTTGACAATCTCGCAAGTTTTGACAGGATACTCAATACCAATACTCAGAATGAATCTTTTTTTCTGGTTAATTCTCAGCTCAAAATACGATTTGGAAATAGAGCTTGAGGCGCAAAACAGCTTGTAATCCTACAGCTTCTATTGCTGTCGGCAGATAATTTTATCAGTTTTATAGGTCAATACCCTAATTTGTCAGTTGACAATAGGTTGGTGTAAAATAAAATATCTTCCTCATATGTAAATGATGCAGTGACTCTTGAGATACTATTTAATTGAAGAATTCTAAGAGATATGTTGGTTCAGGTGGTGTAAACTAAGACAGGGAGAGAGAGTTGCCTGAAGGTTCTGACACCATTGCTGTTGGCTATAACTGGAGGGGAATAAAAACACCCTGTTTGAAATTGTGTAGTAACTTCCTTTATTATACAAAAGAACATTTGCAGGTCCATCCCTGTGTGCAATGATGCAGTTCTTGGAAAAACGTCTTACGGACTGCAATGAAACTATAGTCTCGGTATTAGACAAATATATCTCATCTTAGGAAAAACAACATTAAATTGTGAATTCCCTGATCGCTATTTTGGCATTGAGTAATAAAAGATGGCTTTTTGAATGCAAAGGCTTGTTTTAATTAACTATACATTCAAAACATTAAGTCAAGGCTATATGCTGTAATTCACAATCTTTCATTTTTTACAGAATTCACATTATGAAGTTCTGAACACAATTAAATACAGTAATTTAGAACTACATTACTAGACTCTTTGACTGTTAGAAGAATTCTCTGTTCCATGTTGGCAGGTCTTGAAAATTCATTTGTTCAGCATTTTCGTTAGCTGTAAGGAAGAAAAACGATATGCATGAGGCATGAAGTTCAATAAAAACTCAGAGGTGATACTGCAGTGGTTGTGAAACTAGTCTATTACGTTTGATATTAAAAATGTAACAATACATGAACAATTACTGTAAAATCATATGCTATATCATATATATGCTATATGCTACAATCATATGATATATCATATCAATTTATTTTAGGAATCTAGATAATGTTTTTGTCAGAGCGATTGACCAGTATATTTAGATATTTTACAAAGAAGGTAACAATCACCCTTATGTTTTAAAATATTGAAATGTTTATATTAAAATTTTATTACACTGAAAAAAACTCCCACAATCTGCTGTGTTTGAGAACTGTTTCAATATTCTGTTAATTTAATGAATTTCTTTTTCACTTTTATTTATTCACTTTTATTTATTTATTCACCTTTTGTTTAGCATCTTGTCACTTTAGGAACTCATTATTAATTACAAAAGCCTGAACTGGCATTCAGCTGCCCCATCCTGAAAGTACAGTGGTCAGAGACTTCCTGCTGCAATGTTATTCAGCTCAGGGTGCCCTCATTCATTATCCACTTACCCTTTGAAATCATGGTTAATGAATCCTCTTTGTTTTGTGCTTTAACTATACGTGTTCACTGTAAGGAATTATGGTGCCACCAGCAAGGCACCGAGCAAAGTCTAATATAATGTTTTAATCCAAATATTTATGATTTTATGTTACTTTTACCTTTTTTATTGTCTCTTTCTTGATTGACATTGGAGCACATCGACAATTACTTTAATAAAAGTAGGATAAAAACCAAATCACCCATACATTGACCTGTAGGCAAAAATCTAAAAGTAAACTATAGTATATGAGGATGAATACTTTGCTCTGTGCAGCCTTCAGCACAAGAGGGAAATGCACACCTGGCCACAGAAACAGAAAGTCTGCATATTGCAGTAGTAACAATAGAATCCAATAAACTCCGGACTGGTGTGAGGACACGTAGGCTCTAGCAGTTCTCTGGTGCAGTCAGGAATAGCTACAGTGCACAGAGATGTGAAGAATACTATTAAAATCAGACATGCACGGAACATATTTGTGGTCAATTAAAAGGAATCCATTATAGGTGGCATCCACTCTTGAAGAGAATGCCTTTCTTCCGGGCATTCCATGTTTTCATGAATACTGTATATTATTTTCACAACTTAGAATACTAAACTCAAGCCTCTGATCTCTGTGAGTAACATTGTGCTCTTGAAAGTTGTACATTATTAGCATTGCTTTCATTATCTTTAACTTGTCATCTACACACTGGATACAATGTGGACCTGGAAAAGTCTCTGATGTTCCCTTTCATATTCAGTAGCTACTGCAGAGACCAGGCATCATACAGTGATGGTATTCAAATAAATGTTACCTCCGTGCATGTTTTGTTACTCTTGTGGAAGTGTCACAGGAGTTAAATGCAACTAGCGAGAAATCAAATGCAAATTTTTGTTCTAATTTTCAGAACCCGCACAGACAGAGATTTCAGTCACCTCATTGAGGTAGGATGTGTAAATGTGGTGATATCTTTATAAATTGTTGGATGAAGACCAATTTAACTGCACCATACCCTGGCCATGTGCCTGTGGGACTAAACAATATTAATGTGATGTAGAGCTGTCATGTAGCTCAAACCCGAGATCTGCTCACGCTGCTTCACAAAAACAAGAGAAAAAAAACTCACTGATGCATTGTACTTGTACGGTCAAGGGCTAAGTCACTAATTTTAATTGCTGCTTATTACAATGGAAACAAAAAAAAGAATCAGTCACAGATCCTAACATTTTTTTTTAATGTTATCTTCTATCTGTGAAGAACTGCACATCTTGAATGTGGAATTACAGAGCCACGCTCTTTAGCTATAGTGGAAGAGAAATGTGTCTGGTTTAAAGTGCCATCAACAGCGATTAAAAAAATCACCTTGGAACAGATGTGGCTGAGCTCTTTTCTACTGTTGTCAACGTTTTTCATGAGTTACCTCAGCTAGAAGGGGAAAGACCTTCAGGCTGAGCTGGGCACTCAAAACTTTGTTGTACATCAAATTAACCCTATTTCATCCCATTTCTTAAAGTTATAAAGGAATCGATGACCTACAGACATCTATAAAACCTGCACTTACAGTATGGCTCTACAGCATTGCCGATAAACGCAAGGGAACCTCCAGATAAACTCAATGAAGAGCTGGTCTAGAAAGTGGTCTGTGAAGGAATTAATTGCCTCACCTTCCTCCTTTGCCTGTTGGATAAAACTGAGCAGTAAAGCTGCAACCTCTGGCAGGCTCAGAGGGCTGCTGTCTTGGCTTCTGGTTTCTGATTAAAAAAGTAAAATTAAATAGAAGAGAGAACACTGACAGAGGAAAGGTCAAAGGTTTGCCAGGCAGAAAATATTTTAATATTATTAAATTTGTAGCTTTTGAAAAAAAAATCATATATTCCCATCATGTCTGACTAGCTATGACACATCAAAGTACATCTTATCTCTAAAAATAAAGGATTAAATCATTTTGCATATTCTGCACATTTCAATTACAATTCATTAATTGAAAGAACTTCACATTCTGCACTAATTAACAATTACTATAAACTTTATTACTTAAACTAATAGAAAATGGCTACAAAGTGTTGCTTGTAGCCTGGAACTGATTGCATTTCAATATCAATGGTAGATTACATAATTGTATTCCACTATTCCTTAAATTATGCATATCTGAATCTTTATTCCTCTGAACGTTCTTTTAAACTTCCACATAAAATCTATGTAGAACAGAAAATTATAGATTAATGAACAACAGCTGTTTTACTACTGTCCAGGTATGTTAGTAACAGCAGTGATAACAAGGAGATGAATGAGTGAATCATCATCTGTTTTCTTACCTAAATGCAGTGCATCATAAACATCACCTTCTTTTCTATCCTCTGATACAAATCGTCTTCCTTCTGCAAGACCGCAAGATAAACTAATTTAAACTTTCATTTAAACATGCATTGTTAAGTGTCATTACCTGGTACCACCTGAAAAAAAATTCACAAGAAGTGTAGATATTTAACATTCAGAAATGCTTCAGCTGTGGAACCTTCTTCGCGAGAATTACCAAAACACAAAACTACAAACTACGAGCCGCAAAAAGGAATCCCTTCAATGCATTCACTTTTTAATCTTCAGTGAAAATAAAAAGAAAATATATTATTACCACTTCAAAATGTAGAACATGAATACATTAACTGTTTCCCCTAACGTTTGTGTGTTTCTTTAATCAAAAATCACTGATATTAGTGTATTTTACTTCCAGAGCAGTCAATTCAATTCAATTCAATTCAAGGTGCTTTATTAGCATGACCGATGGGTACAATCAGTGTTGCCAAAGCAAATAAAAATAATAAAATTAACATAGAACAAAACAAAAAATAGAAGTAAAATAAAATCTACAGACATGTTACAGACATTTACAACAAAGACATATTATATAATATCGACATATACTGTAGGCGGCTGGAGCATTAGCAGTCTCTCTCTCTCCCTTTAAGAAAAAACATCCCTCACTTTCATGGACAATACCCATCTTCGTAAAAATGAAACTGCTGGAATTTGTAGGTGTTATTATATTTTAATATATTTGTACACAATAACATTGGAGAGATCTTTGGGATAGTTTAAAATAACTTCCACAACACTGATTGGTCAAGCAAGGATTGCCCGTCACTGCTGAATGAAGCGGGTCTCCTCTTGTACTGCTGGAAAGCGCTTTGCGATGCCCGCGTCCGAAAAGCTCTCTATAAAAGCATTTGTATTAAGTGGTAACATCGTTTATTGTTGATCTGACAAAATAAAAATAATAACTTCGGTGATGGCGTAGTTTTAAAAACATTTAAACAGACCCGAATGAACACAGCTTTCATCCCCTTGATTTAAAGGAAACTTCTATAAATATCACATAAACTAAACAAGTAAACTACTGAAGTCAGTCGGCACGACGGAGAAACGCGGAGGATGTTTTTAAACGAACTCTTACTTACGGGCGCCCTTCAAATAAAGCATCGCCTGAGGGGTCCAGTTTCTTCTCTGAAATCCCTTGATTAAAGAGAGAGGAGAGTTAGTTATGAAGTGTTAGGTTCTTTAAGTAAAACTCGCGATTCGTTGAAGTTAAATAAAACCATACCTTCGGAGCGCTCCAAGAGTGAGCGATGAATGTAGCCAATACCAACACAGCAAGCGCATAGGCTGTAAGAGTTTTTAATCCCTGTAGAGAAAACAGAAAATGGTGTTTTTTCTTATAATTTAAAATAAACTTTTTTGGTCAGTGCAAGCTTTGATTATTTATCTTCAGAAATCGTCTACAGTTGTCAAACCCAATAAAGCAAATCAATCTCATTAAAAGAATATTTTACTAGAATATACTATATATGCCAGAATTATCATTTCATTTGTTTAGAAAATCCGATGAAAATTATTTACATAACGAAAGAAACCCATTTTATTAGCAATTCTTGTCAGTCATACATTTCAACAGTTAAATTAAAAAGTTCTTGGGTTTACTATATCAACACCTGCGAATTGATTCATTCTGAGTTACCATTTAAGAAATTATTCTATCTCCTAGTGCTCAGCTAAAAGAAAATACGTTTTGAACTGTGGTGATGCTGTTTTGCTGTTTCCGATAAATAATACTATTGTACAGTGGATTTTCATTTATTTATTTCCGGAAAATTCCATAATGATAAGTACAGAAGTTGTTGTTCAGCTACTTTGGTCAACTTGAAATACATCTTTGGCAATCTATACGAGAAACATACCAACAACATCATAAAATTAAACAACAATTCAAACAAGACGGAGTTTTTTTATTATTCTTATAAGAACGAGTTGTATAGTGTCAAAGTAATCCCATCGTAGTTACTTGCAATCGCTTGCAATTTTATTGTATGGTCAGATCATGAGACAGAATATAAAAAAGAATATATCTGACTCATAAAAGCTTCAGCTATCTACTCAGTCGCTTGAAAATGCGCAGATGGAAAAGGAACATAATTGCTTACTTTCATTCTTAGGCGAGGTTCTCTTCCAACTGTTTGCGTCTGCCTTCAGTTTTGATCTGTCCGGACGTGAAAAGTTGTTTGGCTGAGATTCGAAATCCCTGCCCTATATAAACGTCTCGGTGGGTGAATCCAAAGGGAACCCCTGTCAGTTCTTGTGATAAAAAGCCGTGCAATCATTTCTCCTGGGAATACCGAAGTGCCTATCAGTCAGTCCGTGGGGTTGATCGAACGGTGCAAACACGAGATCCAAAGACCCACTCTGCGTGTCACTTTGATGTTGAATAACAGGATAACAATATTTCCTCGTCTCAGCCACCCCCAAAACATTCCCACCCCCTTCTTTTCCTAGCCTGCTGTCGTATTTCGTCTGATTTTATCCTATTAAAATAGCAATTACGCGTTAAAGATAAGACCAAGCTGATCCAAACAGGCATAATCAAAACGCATTACGATGCTCTTTCATCATCCAAGCATTTCATTTAACGACTGAATCGGCCAAGGCAGAACATCAGGAGTATCTACTCCTGCAGTTAAACATTTAATGTTATCAATAAACAGACCAGAGAGCAGACCTAAGAAAACAAAATGTAAAGACAGAGACTCGATGCCTCGTATTGCACAATATACTGTACTGTACATTAGACAAATGCTGTAGATCAGATTTTATTAATATTTTTGGTAAATTTACTTCAAATTAATAATAATAGAATAACAGTAATAAAGAATAATGTAAAAATCCTTACTGTGGATTCCATAAACGACTTAGTTTACATAAATAAAAATGCATTTTATATAATCAAATTCAACAATGCAAAACTTAATGACTTACACTTGAAACAAGCAGATTCTACAGATCACTAAAACATTCATGATTCTGTCATGTCTGAGGTGCAGAATAATTTTAGTGTTAAGTAAAAACGTTCTTCGGCAGTTGTCTGGAAGATTCAAATCATTCTTGCATTATCTTTTCTTTAGATTTAGATTTTCCTCTATGTTAAGGATAACAGACTCTGAAGATTAAACTCTTCATTTGATGTACTTATTAAAGTCATGGACTTGAAGTCATTACACATGTAATCAGATCATTAAACCACACTTTCCTTAGCAATCTGCTTTCCATAATGTAGTCATCACTGGTATAGCACCAATGGGATATCATCACTGGAATAACACTAATGGGTCATGATCACTCGTATAGCACCAATGGGATATCATCACTGGGATAGCACCAATGGGTTATGATCACTC